CGGTTTTGTGCCATTGTGTCTGGGGTTGCTACATGTCTTAGTGCAGCTACTAGTATAATTAATATAATATCGTTTAATGTAACAAGAGCAGTCAGGAAATAGGAGACACATTGCAATGGGAAAATCTGCAGTTAGGGACCTTTCCAAATTATTGAGGAGTAATGATGTCAGTTTGAGGACTAAGGTGTGTCTGATTCAGGCCATGGTCTTTCTGATTACTAGCTATGCATCCAAGAGCTGGACAATGAATATGGATGACAGAAAAAAATTGATGCCTTTGAGCTGTGGTGTTGGAGAGGAACACTGAACATTCCAAGGACGGACAAGAAAATGAATAGATATGTCTTGGAGTGGGTGCAGCCAGAGTGCTCTTTGGAGGCAAGAATGATGAGGCTTTGCCTCACATACTTTGGAAATATTGCTAGGAGGTGCTATTCCTTGGAGAAGGACATGATGCTGGGAAGGGTGGAGGGGTGGCGAAGGAGAGGAAGACCCTCAACCAGGTGGACTGACAATGTGGCTGCTGCAATGGGCTCTTGTGTGTCAGGAAGTGTGAGGATGGCGCAAGACAGGACTGGGTTCAGATCTTTTGTTCATAGGGTCGCTATGAGTTGTACTTGACTTGATGGCACCTAACAACAAAAATATAACATAATATTCTGTATTCGGATTCCTTAGATGAAGCTGGACTTTGGGACTTGCCCTAAGGTTCCGACAGTAACATATCACTCCCATGAGTACAGCAGGAAGTGGTGGGTGTACCCTGAAACCCCCTTCCATCCATTCTGTGATCTTGGGAGCCTTGAAGACTCTCATTTTTAGTATGTTGTCAGAGTGCTTGAAGATCAAAGAGTGAAGTGTGGGAAGGATCAACTTAGTCATAAGTCCATCTTCCTCCTCCATGCGTAATTATGCTCAACCACGCAGGGTGATCCAGGGGTGATTCTAGGATTGCAGGGTATTAAGCTTTGGTTGTTGACATTTTCCCCACCCTTGCCAGAGAGAGGATTGGAAGACCTGCTCCTTCAATGAGCCCTGGCGGCCTAGTCTATAGGGAGTTGTCCTGCTAACCCAAAGGCCGCCCCTCTCAGGTCATTTGAATCCACCAGTGGCTCAGAGGACGAAAGACAGTCTCCTATGTGATTTACAGCCTTAGAATTAGTTCCAACTCGGTGGCAAGGTAGGTTTGCAACTGGGCTCCACTAAGGGATTTGAGATAATATAGAGGCCTTAGGGCAATGGCGGGGCATTTATATGGAAGGAGAATTTAACGTCTCAGCCCCTGCCCTTCATCCACACTTCTCATGCAGGGTCACATCGCTGATAACTGACATTCCGAACATGCATTGAGATCTAAGACTTTCGGAGCTAAGCTCCCCAATATTTCTCCTTTCTAATTATGTTCATGAATAGTGGTGATGGTGTTCAACATGGTACATCGTGGTACAATTTACACCCCTGAATTACACACTTTAAAATGGTTTCAGTGGCATTTTATGATATATAGATATATAAAGATATAAATAAAAATATAAATATAAACATAAATATAGATGTCTACAATGGGGGGAGAAAAGGGAGGGGATGAAATAATAATTAGAAATCTCAATCCTGGCTTTCAAAGGGCTGGTCACCATCTCACCGACATCAGAATGGGCACACGTGGTGGACACTATTAGCTCGGGTTTTTGTGCATACACACGCATGAGTGTGCATACAATGCGTATCAGACTATCTTGGGGGCCATGTCTTCAATTTTGGGATTGCAGTGCAGTTTCCTGCCACTAGGCCACCAGAGCTCGCCATGTCTTCAATTTAGATTAGCCTTTGCCCTATCTTGGTTTTAAAATCACTGGGTTTAAGAGATATTAAGGACAGGCATGTGTCAGCCAAGTAAAACAAATGAAAGCAGAATGAAAGACAAAAGTTTGGTTTGAGGCCATTCCGGTTTCAAAGTTCTTTAACATGAGAAGATGAACTGTTCACTTTCCCCAGGGGACTGAGATATTCCAGCAACACAGCTGGTGGTGGCTCCCTGAATCAGGATGTTCCCAAAATCTTAACCTTGAATTCTCCCTTCCTAGATCTTATGCTCAATGGGCTAGCACCATCTGTGTGTAAAAACCAGACAAGCTTTGTGTCCAGCTTTGAAGGGCACTCACAGCACTTGGACTCTGGGCTCCCAGGAGCTCCCAGATCTCATTGGCAGACCTAGGGACCATCTAGAGAATAAATGAAAAATAAGTCACAGCCAAGTCGGTTCCAACTCGTGCCAAACCCGCACGTGTCAGAGAGAAGGGCTGGTGCTCGCAGGGTTTCTGATGGCTGTGATCTTTGGCAGTAGCTTGCCAGGCCTTTCTTCTGAGGCACCTCTTGGAATCATCAGCCTTTCAATGCCTAGCCAAGTACTTAGCCGTGTGCACCATCTGGAGCCTCTAGACAGCACAGGAAGTACCACTTTATAGGCCTTGGCTGTGGATTGCTCCAAGCAGGACCAGGTCAGTGTGGGTTGCTGTAGACAAGACCTTTGTAATAACCACCACAATGACATTTATGGGGTTTTAACTGCCTGTCAGGAGCTAAGAGCTCTTCTCTTTTGTGTATTGCATCATACCACATCCCTGTCGACAGATTCTATTTTCATCACCACTTCCCAGAGGGGGAACCGGAAACAATGAGAGTGGAAATAACTTGCATAGTCATAGAGCTAGTCGCTGGCAGAGTTGGGATTCAAGCCCAGTGCAGTCGGGCTCTAAAATCCAGTGTTCTTAGCCCTGTACCGTCTCCCTGCAGAGTCTGAACTAATTTTTGAAGGTTGAGAAAGTTTAATCATTAAAAAGACCAAAGATGTTAGTGGTGGTTCACTGGTAGACTTCTTGCTTCCATGTGGGGAACCCAGGATGGAGTCCCAGTCAGTGAACTTCCATCACCTCCCACATGTCAGTGCAGCTTCCCGACCAAGAGTCAGGGGCTCATTCCAAAACCACAACAAAGTACCAAAGGGTGGGAGAACCACGAGCCTAGGTTTGGTAGTAGTTATGTGGAACTTTCAGCAACTTTTCAAACTTTTCTGACCCTCAGTTTTCATATCTGCTAAATGGTAATAGAATCTTCTTTACAGAGTGGTATGGCTAACGTGACATGCTTAGATATGGTGTTGAAGTTGTCAAAGATGTCACCATTCTTGGATTAAGGCCCATTGAAGCAGCCATCAGAACCAAAACTCTCACTGCATATTGCTTTTGGCAAAACTGCTGCAGAAGATCTCTTTAAAATAGTTTAAAAAACCAATAATTTCACTTTGGATACTAAAGTGTACCTTGTCCAAATCATGGTATTTTTCAACCATCTCATTTGCTTGTGAAATCTGGACTATGACTAAAGAAGGCCAAAGAATTATTTTGTTGGTGGAAAAAGCTAACTATGTGACTGTCAGAAGGAACAAAGATGTCCTGGAAAAAGCACAATCAGAATCCTCCTTAGAAGAGAGGATGGAGAGATGTCACATCACATGCCAGTTAACTATGAGTCAGACCAGACTCAAGGCATCGAACAACAAGAAAATTATTTTCAAATTATGTACACGAACTTTGTAAGGAAGCCAGGATAAAATAAAAATTTTATTTGGAAAATAATAATATTTTCAGAAATGGAGGAGGGAGAGAGGCACATGCTGACAAACTCCCGGTGTCAGAAATGAGCCTGAAGAGGGTGGATGGTAGGGCCAGTCAAACTCCAATATGAAATCGGTGTTACGAGTGAATGGGAAATAAAAGCTGAATGGGAAGCAAAAGATAGGTAATTATTATCTTGAAAGTGACTATTAAACGCCGCACTCAAAAAAATCCTCATTGCCATCGAGTCGGATCTGACCCTCCATTGATGCTGGAAATCACATGGGAGGCGACTATCTTCCTCTCACTTGGTGGATTCGAACCACCAGACAAGCAACATTTTTCATATTACAACTCGCTGTGGACTAAGCCACCAGAGCTGCAGAGAGCTCTTCAAAATGTCAGATGGGTGGCCTCTATAGACATATGAAAATATATTTTTGGAGCAAAAAAATAGAATGCAAAATCACATGTACAAGCTGTTAAGCCTGGAGATGAGCCTCTGGAATGCTGCAAATATTCCAGACTTTTATTTTTCTATGGAGACATTATTCTGGAAGGGTGGATGGTCAGGGAAAGAGAGGAAGACCCTCAACAAGATGGATTGGCCCAGTGGTGGGTTGGAACACATTAGAGATGGTGAAGATAGGGCAACATCAGCTCTTTTGTTCAGAAGGTCTTATGACTCTGCAATAGTCATTGCATTACCATTATGACTCAATGGCCCTTAACCACAACAAGCATATCTGGGCATCTAGAGAAAAAATAAAGCAAAAGGAGTCTAAGCCAAGGGGTTTGGCTTTAACCTATGGGCATCATGCTGATTTTAATATTTGTTTATTTGATTTGGCTTGGTTTTCTTTCTAAAACAGAAATGCAATTCATATACCATAAAACATAAAAGAACCTGTTGCCACTGAGTCGTCTCTGACCTGTGGTGACCTCCTGGGTGTGAGTACAGCTGTGTTCCTTGGAGGTTTCAGATGGCTGCTTTTTTGCAAGTAGATCACCACACCTTTCTTCTGTGACACCTCTGGGTAAACAGTAAACTCTTTACAAAAGTCATCCTTTAGAAAGAGGAAGTTTTTGCTTAGGGGGCACAGACTTTACGCTAATTGTGGTGAAATTATTTGAATAAGGATAGTGAGAAGATTTGTACAACTTGAAGAATATAACCAATGTTAACGGAATTGTACATGCAGAAATGGTTGAGAAACAATAGGGATTTTTTTATTAAGCGTATTTTTGAAATTTACTCTTCTTTTTCATAAACTCACAAGGATATGCCACCATTGCTATCCCTGGTCACTGCACATTCTTAAACAGTAAAATGGCCTCACAGCGCAGCAATTTAAGAACAACCTGTCTTTCCTTGTGCCCTTTCAGAATGCCCAGGAGAACCATGGGCTGGCTGTGCCCACCCCCTGTGTCCCAGACGACTTTGCAGACAAAGATGTGACAGGTAAGAGAACCCTGAGCTGGGCCTTGCCCATTTTTTTCTTCTTTCCTCTTTGTATCTTCAATGCAAAAGGCAAGAATCTGCTCTACCTTCCCAACTTGGGAGTAAGCTTCCAGTTCCCAATCACAGCCATTCTTGTGGGCCTCACACCTCTTAGCTATTGGCTACAGAGGGAGGAAGCAGAGGGGCTTGGAACCAAAATGCAGGGTTGGCTAAGGTTCCGCTTCTGGTGCAGGAAGGCTGGTGAGGAGACAAGGGCCAGAGGAGCAAGGAACAAGGGCAGCACCAAGGGATAGTGAGCACCCTGGAGGCAGCCAGACCTGGCTTTTTTAAAATTTTTAAATTTTATTATTTTCTCGGTGTGTGTACCGTCAAATTGGATCTGACTGGTATAGGAGGAAATGGCCCCTCCTTCTCCGGCACAACATCTGGTGGATTTGAACCACATATCTCTGGGATTGCAGTGCAGCTTCTTGTCACTAGGCCACCAGAGCTTCCCCAGACCTGGCTTTGAAATCAGCTCCCTAGCAAGTAGGCTTTGCTCCCTTGGGCACATCGCTTAACTCCTTGCACCTCTATGTCTTCCAATGAGCTCGGGAACAATTCCAATTCTTGAGAAGCACACACATACTCTCTCTTCTGCTCTCTATCTTTATCTCTCTCTGTGTCTCCCTCTCTTTCCCTGTCTCGTCTCTGTCTCTCTCCTTGTAAGGATTACCATACCAGACCCAGCCTCTTTTGGATGCATTTCCTGCTTTCCTCCCCGACCTCCCTCTGTTCTAACCATACCTGCCTCTTTTACTCCTGAAATCTCCCGACATGTTTTCGCCTCTTGGTCTTTGCACAGCCGTCCTCTCTCAAATGTTCTACCCCTTGATGTGTATATGGCCCCTCCCTCTTTCTATCTTTGCTGAACTGTCAACTTTTTGGTGAGGTCGACGGCTGCCACCCCTTCCTTGATTTCCCCCCATGTTTTTGTTGTCAGGTACTATTCATTTACTTTCAACCTGTAGTGACCCCATGTGACAGCACAACTTCCCTGAAAAGGTTCCTTGGCTTTAATCCTCACAGGAGTAGATGGCCAGTTCTTTCTCCCACAGGGCTGCTGGGCAGGCTCAAACCACCAGCCTTTTGGTTCACAGCTGAGCACTGAACCGTTAACGCCACCTGGCCACTTTGTATTTCCTCCATAATCTAATGGGTGCTAATTGGCTGTTGTCACTGAGTCTCCCATTAAAGCGGGAGCTTCAGAAAGGCAGCACTTCGTGTCTGGTTTTTGGTTGGGTGTTTTGGTGTGTGACTGCTGTATCCCAGCACCTAACTCAGTGCCTGGCACTCGGGTGCTCGGTGAGTGTTGGCGTCCCCCGACCCACTCTCACAGGAGGTACAGGCCCCTCAATCTGCTCTTAGTTTGAAAGTCAGGCAGCTCCTAGGAGCCCTAGGAGCTTTGTGCTAGGAACTTGTAGTAAGCCATACTGCAGCCATTTTATGCCAGGTTCAAATGTGCAGATGTTTGAAAGGGAGCAAAAACAAGTTTAATCGTTCCTTGAACCCCAAGGCCAAGCAGGGATGTGCAGAATGGTATGTCCCTCCCCAAACAAAGACTCTGTTCTGATGGCCTTGCTTGCTAATTGGAAGCCTTGCTAGCAGGTGGCTCATAACTCAGAACAAATATGTTGTCGGCCTTGAGGCTGAGTTGTTTTTCTGTTCACTGCAGAATATAAGACAGGAGTTCAATAATAAAATTTGCTATCCGCCATCAGCTGGTAGCTTCTCTGTGTCTTTAATCCACGTCTTTCCCTCTGGGTATCTGGATCAATATAACAAGGCAGGACCCTGTTAGGAACTGACAGATGGGAGACACAAATGGGGAGATGGTAGATTTTGAGGAGGGGGCTGGGGACTGGGTCCAAGAAAAGGGAAGAGGGGTCCAGTATCTCTGGCATCCAGGTTCCCTTCCTTATGTACACCCCGTTTTATATCAGTCTAGAATCTGCCTCAAAAGTTCTCTATGAGGAGGAAAACTGTTCTCAGTAGATCAGAGGTCTCTAGACAGCAAGCCGAAACAGTTGTTTGTACAAATTGCTCCCTCCTTCAGTTCTTTGCGTCCTTACTGAGGAGGTCCCCAGGCTTCTCTCTCTGATTTGACTCTCACTTTCTATCTTAAATGTGTGGAAAATACAAGCATAGGTGGGAGACATCGAAGTGCTTATCATGTATTTTATGAATTTGCCTATTCTGGAAGCTCTGGTGGTTTAGTTGGTTGTGCTGCCAACCCAAAGGCAGGTGGTTTGAATCCACCAATTGCCACTGTGGAGAAAGATGGGCAATCTCTGAAAACCAGCTGGAAGTTCAGCTGAGTCGGTCCCCATGGCAATGAGTTGTTTTATTGTTCACTATGGACCTGACAAGGAGTCCTGATAGCACAGCAGTTAAGCATGTAGCTGCTACGTGAAAGGTTGATAGTTTGAACCCATCTAGCAGCTCTATAGGAGAAAGACCTGGTGATTGGCTTTCATAAGAATTACAGCTAAGAAAGTCAATTCTACTCTGTCGCATGAGGTCACTGTTAGTAGAAAGTGACTTGTCAGTACCCAAAACCAATATGGGCCTACATTTTCCTATTTAATCCTCCCAATAGCTGTAGGAGGAAAGCCTTACCATTATGTCCATTTTATAGATGTTGAAACTGAGGTTCAGCAAGATTAGTGTGTCCAAAAACAGACAACTAAAAAGTTGTAGAGCTAGGATTCAAACACCTGGCCTTTTTTTGGCTTTCTATCAGTCAGGATCTTGGCAGGAAACACTTGGCAGGTGGCACACTCTCTCAAAGGGGATAATCAAAGAAAATGATACTGGAATGTGATCAGGTTTCTGGAGACCAAAGTAGACAGTGATGGCCCCCAGACTGCCAACAGCGGGGAGCTGCTGTGGTCCCTGAGCTGTGGCCAGAAAGCTGCCCAGTGGGAACTGGGGCCTCTGGGAGACAAAAGTAGCTGCTACCAACTGGCAGATACTGGGAGGGAGCTGCGGATAAACAGCAAAGTCTCATCCTCCACCCTCCCGTGCTCTTCCCCTGCCCTTGGTTCTCCTTGTTTCCCACTGTCTGAAACCACTGAAGGGTGAGGGAGCTCAGCTCCAGGAAGGATGGACAGTGCCTCTGGAGGGCCAAACAGAGGATATTTCGTTCAGGACCTAAAGGCTGTGCCAGCGATAGGGAGGGAAGAAAGACACCTAAGGACAGTTTAGAAGACGGCCAATACAGTTGCTTTTGATTATTGTTCAGTACTAAAGGCAGGAAGCCGGCCAGTTATTCTCCAGGGTGCCCTCTGACCTGGCCTAGGCTGCCATGGCTCTTCCTCATCTTTGCCTCTCCTTTCTTTCAGGGAACCTCGTAAATGGCAACCTCCGCCTGTACAGCTCTGTGGGGGACCTAAGGCCTGGGCAGTATGACCATGACCCACTCATCCCCCCACCTCCCCCTGGCCCGGCCCCAGGGCCACCCTCAGATTTCTTGCAACCTCGAGGGGAGTCCCCACCCCCACCTCCACCTTCCACAGCTCCTCCTCCGCCTCCCCTGCTTCTGGAACCTCCACCTCCCCCCCCTCCTACCACTGCCCCACCTCCACCTCCTGTATTGGGAGCCCTGTCCCCCCCATCTACACCCAGCCCTCCTGACTTCATTCCCCCAGCCCCACCCTTGGCCTCTTCAGCACGCCCACCTCCCCCTCTGCCAGCCCCAGCACCCCCAGCTCCAGTGTCTCCTCATACACAGTCAGGACCATACCTCTTTCCCCTTGGGGGAGCCTCCAAGTGGAAATCAGATGTAGCACTGAATGGCAGGCTGACAGTGACTCCTCAAACCAGCCCCCCTAGGAGCCCTGTTGAGCCCAAGGGGAGCTCGCTGGGACCCAAGCAAGAGATCCACCTCACCTTTCCCCGTTCGTTCAAGGTGCCTCCCCCAACACCAGTCAGGACTTCATCTATACAACCTCAGGAAACACGGGAGGCTTCCCGAGAGCAAGAGGGGGCCACTAAGAAGGTCCCTAAACGACTCCCACTGCCCCCCAGCTTCCACATCCGCCCTGCATCCCAGGTGTACCCTGACAAGGAGCCTGAGCCAGGCAGCCCAGTGGAGCTCAAAGCACCTACGCCAAGCAGCCCACGGCTGGATCGGACCCAGACCCAGATCCACACCCACACCCACACAGATGAGCACACTGCGACCCCACCCTCAGCCCCTCCTCTGCCCCCTCCTGCACCCCCCCTCCCACCCCCAGCACCTCCTCTACCCCCAGCTGCCCCTCCTTTGCTTTCTGCTGAGAAAGTATCTCCCCCACTTGCTGGATTTTCAAAAAGCTCCAAACCCAGCTGTTCTGCCCCTAAACCCAAATGCCCCAGCCCAGAGGAATCAGACTCTTCAGACTCCGAGGACTGGTGGAATCCCAGCCAGATGGAGAAACTGCGGAGAGAGTTGGCAGCCTATCTGTGTGGCTCCAGGAAAGAGGACCGATCCCTCAGTCACAGGCCGAGCCCAGGGGTGGCTTCTCAGGGAAAGGAGGACAAGAAGGGCCCCGACCTGCCAGAAAAGGAAGCTCCCCTAAGTGTGCCAGAGGAGGCTCCCTTAAGCTTACCAGAGAAGCACGCCCCCTCAAGCATGCCAGAGAAGCAGCCCCTCACAAGCGTGCCAGACACGGAGGCTCCTCAAAGTGTTCCCCAAAAGGACAGCCCTCACAGCAATGGTCTCCCAGAGAAGGAGGCTGCTGCCAGCTTGACCCTGCCCCCAGTGGACTACACCCCTCAAGACTCTCAGACCGCCAGTGTCCAGCAGATCCGGAAGGAGCTAGAAGCCCGACTTTCCTTGCAGACAGAGAAGGAAGCCAAGCCCAGTTTAGGGTCTTTGCCACCCAAACCCCTCCTAGAAGGAAACAGGATTTTTGAAAATGGGGCTGGCAATGCCAAATACACCAAGCCTGTGGGCAAGAATCTGCCAACAGCATCCAGACCACCCCTGCCAACCAAGCCCAAGCCCACACCTGGGCCAGCCATACCACCTAAGCCCACCCCTGGATCAGTCACACCACCTAAGGCCACTAAGCCAGCGAAAGCAGTTGAAGCCAGCCCTGGGTCAGTCACACCGCTCAAGGCCACCACTGAGCCAGCCACACCACCTAAAGCTGCTCCTGGACCTGCCACACCTCCCACAGCCACAACTCGGCCAGCTGGGCATGAGGACAACCCAGCAGAATCTCAAGAACCTGCAGTACACTCGCAGCCAGAGGCAAAAGGGCCCCCCTCAGAGCCCAGTAAGCTGCTTACACAGGGAGTCACTTCATCTCCAGGCCTCCCACGAAAGAAATCCTCTATCCACGAAGAGGCACCGTATCTCTATAAGCCCCATAGCAGCCAAAATGGCATGAGTGGGGCCAGAAGAGAGACTGCGGGGTCACAGGAGCCTGTGGAAGTGAAAGAGCCCCAAAGCCTGCCTTCCAAGACCCCTGTCTCAACCTCAACCACTGATGAACTCCTCAGGCATCCAGTGACCGGGGAGGTGGTGGAGCGCGGCTCTCCAATGGCCTTGCTCCTTGCTGCCCGGCAGAGGGCGCAGAAGGGCAGGCCCGGAGGGGCAGCCCCTGGGCGGTCCTCCCTGCCAGGCAGTCTGCGGCTCCACGGTGGACTCCCTGACGCAGGCTCGGGGAGCATCACCTACAAAGACAGCCAGCTTAACTCCTTCACCGTGGTCCCCAAGCCATCCAAGGAGATCAGAAAGGAACCTCAGTTGGACTTTTCAGCCCAGCCCGCGGTACCCAGTCCGTGGAAGCCACAGCAGCTCTGCAGAGACGCGGAGGGTACAGAGCCAAGCCGCTGGTACAGGTGGACCAAGGCAGAGCCCCAGGCGCCGGTGCCCTGGGGAAAATCTGCCCCTTCCAACCTCCCGCACGGCCGCCCGCTGTCCAAGTCCTCCCCTTCTTCGCCTTCCCTCAAGACGGAAGAGGAGTTCAGCTTTGAGGTCATCCCACCGCCGCCAGAGTTCAGCAATGACCCTGAACCCCCGGCCCCGGACCTTCAGTATCCTGGACACCGGGGCTCCCCGCCCCGGAACAACTTTTCGGACCTGGGGAAGCCCCTGGACGCGGGCCCTGCCACCTCCCGAGTTCAGGGCTTCTCCAGCTTTCCCACGAGCGCAGACCACCCGGGGACCGGAGGCCTGGAGCGCTTCTCGGCGGGCGGCCGATCGCTCATCAAGAAACGCCTGTACGTTGGAGAGCCGCGCCCCAGCCCCGGGCCGCCTTGCGGGGGTACCAGCCGCAGCCTGAGCTCCCCCAACTGTTTTGGGCCCCAGCCAGGAGGACCCTTCGGAGCAGTTGGAGGCCCAGAGATGCGACGCGTCAACTCGGTGGGCCGGGGTCTCCCCGGCGGCTTGCAGACGCGGAGAATGTCCTTGGAGGGATCCCGGGGAGGACAGTTCGCGGGCGGCGCGGGGGACACCAAGTACAAATCACCCAGCGCGGACTACGGCTTCGTCCCTGCTGCCAGCAGGTGAGCTGGGGTGGGGGCCGTGAGACGGAGGGGGATCATATCGGGGACCCCCCCCCCGCAAGGACCGGGCCACTCCCATGAGTACAAGGAGATTTAGTGTGTGAATAGTCCGAATGATTTAGGTGACCTAAAAGTTGATGGTTCAGAATTTCAAACTTTCCAATGAATACACTCTAGTAATCTTCCATAAAGATGACAGCCGAGAAGAGTCCCAAGGAGCAGTTCTACTCTGTAACGCACGGGGTCGCCTTGAGTCAGCATGGACTCCTTGGCGAAGGGTTTGTTTTGGGTTTTTTTTTCCAATCCAGAGATACATGTTCCAATGCAGTACCTATTTTCCATAAATGGTTTTGGTAAGAGGAATAGTGTAAATGTGGATACATTTCCACTATTCCTCCTCCATGCCACAATATAGTGTTATTAGCTTGAGCAGTTATAAATCCATTGCCATCCTTACTCTAACTTAATCCTTTTTTTTAAATTTAAATTTGTTATTAATTTCAGTGAAAATTTACAGAGGCTTTGGATTTCCATTCATTCATTGTTGTAGATGGGTTTTGGTTTTGAACTTGGGCTTTTAGGACAGAGAGAAGGGGAGAGGGCACACTTTGCCTAAAGAGGGCGCTGTTGGACGTTCTCGCTCCCCCCCCCCATCCCTCCTCTCTCTTGTCCCCACGCCCTGTTGTCCTAGAACTGTAGGGTTAAGGAGGGGTGGGTGCTGACTGATCCACAACCAGGCTACAAGGGAAGATTTCTAAGTAGAAGGGCACTGGATACGTGTCCTGTCATCAAGAAGGGACACCCATGACAAATATTGTCAGCCTTGGGGTCTCTTAATAAGCCCAGGGTTTCTGGGGGCAGATACGACAGTGCTAAATGGCATCTTTTCCTTTCGTATCCTGCAGGGGATGGGAAGGGTGATTAATTAACTAACTGCATGCAGCTGGTAACCTCCCCCTTCTCCTTCCCACCTCCAGGTCTCCCCACAGTGGGCCTCACTATGGCAGCCCTGTCAACACTTTCACGGTGAGACCAGGCACCCACCATCCTATCTCCTATGCCTACTCCGGGGCCCATCGGAAAGCTACGTCCTGAGCCCGGAGTTGTCCAAGCACTACTCCAAAGGGTTGGATCTGGGCACTTGTTTTTGTGGGGGGTGGGAGGAGCAGAGAGGTGTCTTTGTTCCTCGAAGACAAAACAGGAACAGAGAGTGAGAGGCAGGAGCCCAGGGAAGTCCAAGAATGGGCATGGCTATTGACTGTTTTCATCTGGGGACGGGAGAGGCAAGAGGGAACCTTTAGGGACCTGACGTCTGGGTTTCCACTATCTGGTACTATCTGTGTTAGCTAAACTTCAAGCAGTTTATAAGCATTGGCCTTCTAAGCAAGATTCTCAAAGTAAGGGGTAGGGCACTAACTCTAATCCGGAATGTAACAAAGGGTTGTGATGTTGAAGTAGATTGGATGTGGGCTGGGAGGTGATGAGCTACAAGTAAGTTGACCTCTTTAGCTTCAACCAGACCACCAGTTGCCACCTAGTGTTTCAAGCCATTGGAGCTACACTGAGGTGGAATTAGGAATGTACCATGGTATATGAAGAAGGTACTGGAACAGAAGTGTTTTGCACTGGCCACAGCCAAGGATGCGCGGGAATTGAAGGTTTCTCTTGCCCTCAGCCTGGCCCTTAACTACTAGGGGGTTTAGAGAGAGGAAGCTAAGCAAGGATGAGAGGCAGATACAACAGGACTTGGCCACATTTTCTTTTTGGGCTCTGGGCAAAATAAGAAGAGTGAGGATTAACTAGCTATAGACATCAACCTCACCTCTCTCCTGCTCCCTACTTCAAGGTCTCCCCATATCTGCCTTCACAACTTTTCCACCCAGATCTGTGTGGCTATGATTCGGGGAATTGGACCAAAGGAGCCAGAGGCCCAGGGCTTAACACTAAAGGCCATACAGGGGCAGGCCCCTTATGGGATTAGGAGGAAGCAACACCCTCAAACTACCCCAATCAACACGATCACTAATGTTATTGAGGGTGGCCTAGTGGGTAAGAAGTTGTGCTGGCAACCCAGACACAGGTGGTTCAAATCCACTGCTCCTCAGGAGATGCATGGGCAGTCTTCTCCCATGAGATTTACAGCCTCTGAAACTTCGGGAGGGTCAGCTCTTGAGTTGATTCCGACCCAAGGCAGTGGGTTGGGTTTGGTTAGGTTTGGGTTGTGTCAGGATTGGGTTACCCCATGTTCAAGAAGTGAACCCCTCCCAGATGCCAGCACTCTTTCTATATGTATGTATGTATTTTCCTTGTAAAATGTTTTATAAAAGAGTTCTCTAATTTATCCACTGTGTTAAGCCTGGACAGAGAGAAGGGGATGTGGTGTGGTCTCCCAGCTGTATATTTCTCTGTGGTGGGAGGGGAGGGGCTGGATCTCACTTGGCTTGAGAAATAAATAGGTCAGTTTGGACTGGCCTCCAGCTCTGTGGCTGTGAACTGGTGATTTGGAGTTACCGGGGTGCACTGATGGGAGGCTCAGTGGGCAGGGTGGAGCACTGGGTGGGGGCCGGACTGGTGAGTCATTTTGCTGGGTCAAACTTTTCCTTCTGACTTGGAGGGAGGTTTTCTGGGATTCTAAGTCTCTGAAAACAGGTTGAAGCTCCATCTCACATACTTTGGGCACGAGGCCAGGAAGGACCAGTCCTTAAAGAAGGACACCATTCTTGGAAGGGTGGAGGGACAGTGCAGGAAAGGAAGACCCTGGATGAGATGGATTGGCACAGTAATTAGGGTAATGCGGGTAGGTGTGTCAGAGTGAGTGAGAATAGCTCAGAACAGGGCAGGCTTCAGGGCTATTGTACACAGGGTCACTATGAGTCACAGGCGACTTGATGGCACATAATAAAAGAATGGAACTGAAGTCATTGAGGAGGAACTTCACAAAACTCAACCCTGAGTCCTTCAGTTTCTTCTATAAAATAGGTGTGATAGAAATCCTAAGGCTGTTAAGATTAAAGACATTCATAACTCGATGTCAGACACTGTACACTCAGCACACCCACATGACCCTTGCCCTTGCCGGGATTACAGCTGAGTCAGCAGAGGATAAAAAGAGAACACACAGGGAGCTCTGGCCTAGTGGCAAGAAGCTGCACTGCAATCCTAGAGGGACGTGGTTCGAATCCACCAGATGCTCTGCTGGAGAAAGAGGGACAATCTCCTCCTGTACCAGTCAGATGCAATTTGATGGCCACACACACGCCTTCAAATTAAAAAGCAGAACACACACAGCCATCATAAATTGTGAGAGAGCCGATAACGGTCAGGGACAAGGGTGGGTTTCCTTCAGCAGGGTGGTCTGGCCTCTGGAGATGGTGACGGTTATCCTGACGTAGGCCCAGCCTCCGCCCCCCCCCCCCCACCTGTTCAGCACTCTGTAGTTACTCAATAAGCAATGTCTCAGGGATCTGAGTGAATTTACATTTGGGTGTGGCCTGCCATAGTCTTCCATCAAGCTCTGACATGGTCCTCTCTGTCCACCTTCTCCCTCACCTTCCTGTCCACAGAATTGTTCCTGCAGTGCACACACAGCTTTTTCCAGAAAAGGAAACTGAGAAATGTGTCATGTTAAGGCAGTGGAGAGACACAGCCACTTCCGTCTGTCTGATTCCTTTGAGGGGAGGTTGTTGGGGCAGAGAGACTGGCACGAGGAGTCATTTATTTGGCAGCTTGTGCTTCCAGGAAGGTGCTCTCAGGCCTCTCCCATCTCTGGGGCTTCCTCGGTCTCTTGCTGATGTCCCTATTCTGGTAACACAAAGAAGTCAAGTCCTAGTGCCATGAAGGGCTTAGGAAGTCACCACTGTCATCTCCTTGGTCTCTCCACACCTTTTCTTCAACTTGGCTGGCACAGGATGGGCAGCAGAGAGTAGTGGGTTGACTGGACTAAGGAATGGAGGACCAGGACCCCCTGCCCCAGCTCTGCCTCTGACCAGATACCTCATCTTGGGTCTTGTGGTTAACATCTTAAAAGGGGACGGATGGACTTGTGCTGTGGTATTAAACTTGGTTGGGCTTCAGACCTCTTTGAGGAGCTACAAGAGCTGGACCCTCACCCCAGAAAGATGCTGCACCCACATTTTCACAACAGTTTTTCAGGCAGTTCACAGACTAAGTGGTCATGTTAGCCACCAACATAGATTTCTCTCAGATTTAGTGACAAAATAAAATAGGACGGGCAAATAATACAGATTCCATTGTGTAACTGAGGAGATTAAGGCTCCAGGAAGACAAGAGGCTTGTTCAGCAGAGCCTCCCTGAGTACAAACCCTGCTTTCTCCACACTTCATCCCTGCTGCCTCCCTTCTCACCCCATCCCCACCCCATGCCATCAGTTTATATCTCGGGGAGGGGAGTAGCTGAGCAGGGCAAAGCTATTCTGGGTGTCAGAAGATGCCAATAGGTCTGGGTGGAGCAGCTAACCACACTTGGATTGCTGAAGCTGCCCCAGGCCCCAGTGGCCAGAACCCCACTTTCCTTGTGTGGGCCTGCCCGGCCCTGAGCAGCAGCTGGGGCACGTCTAGGACAGCTGTGCTGGAAGTCTGGTGCCTGGTGCTAGCAACATGTGAGGAGGCCTTTTCTGGGTGAGCTCAACCTCCCCTTGGGCCAGGTTTGCTTAAGAGAAGCTTCCTCTAATTTCCTTCTCACTTCCCTGAGCCCGGGCCTCCCTTCTATAAATAGAACTTTGGAAACTAGAGGCGGGAGGGAGAGTCTGCTGAGCTGCCAGCCCGGCCTGTCCCTGCCCGGTCACCCACAGCGGCCTGTGACGACTCATCTCGAGGCTCAAAAGTGATGCTGGCGTCCCGTCATTAAGCAGGTGCCAAAGATGGGTGGCTGCTGACACCTGGCTGAGAGCCCGAGCCTCCCAGTTGCCTAGGACCTGCTTTTGGGGCCTGGGGTTGTCTTTGGCTGGGAAGGTAGGAGAAGGTGTGTCCAAAAATGGTAATACATGATGCAAGTTCCCTTTACGTGGAAAATCCTGTACTCCCAGTCCCATTCTCAGAGTCCCATGATCAGCCTTAATTCCACAGAGAAGCCACCCTTGCCAGTCCCTCCCCCTGGAGAATTGCCCTCAGAGCTTCTCAGATGCCGGTCCTTCTGCTGCCTTCCACGTCTTCTCCCTGCTCCACCAGAGTCTTCCTTCTCTTCTGCACTTTCTTCGGAAACCTGGAAGTTTCAGTCAGCCTCTCACTGGCACCTGAGCTCCATGTGTCTGACTCTGAAGGTGCTTCTGGGACATTTCCACGTGCCTGTGTGGCCATCCCCTCCACTCCAGTCACTCTAAGAGGGACTTTCTATTTTCTAACTTCCTTCTCACACAGTTGTTAGGACCAGAGCAGCCAGACCAATGCCTCCATCATCCCACAGGGCCGTTCCTCTCTTATTCCTTCTGTCTGCTCAGCCTCTTTCAGCCTAAATTACTCTTAAAGGCCCAGCTTCACCCAGAGCTTCCGGAGGAAGTCCTCCCAACCCTTCACTGGGATTCATCTCCCCCACATCTCTGCACCCCCTCTTCTGACCCATTCTGTGTCATCATCAGGCCTTAGCCCTGACATCCCCCCAGTTCCCCATCAGCTACTATTAAAGGTCCCCACAGTCCCCTCATCACTGGCATCACTTGCTTCACGCGCCCCAGGATCCTATGCACTGTACACACAAGGGCTGCCGGTCTTATCCATTAGAGTGTCCTCAACATATAGCGCTGCTCCTTGCTCCAGTGAGTAGATGCTCAGTTTGTTGAATGAAAACATTTCAGCACTTGACCAAATGCTGTCCAGCACCAGTCTCTGTTTCACTGGGACAAATCTCCTCTTACCAAGCAGACAATAATCTCCTTGAGGATAAGAAATGTACGTGTCTCTAGTGGTCTTTGGGCCGCCTAACCCTCTGGTTTCTAGATGTGGAGGTTCTCTGATGGACAAAGTTTTAGGGGTGAATCTTTACGATTTGATCATAAAAACGTCAAGATGTCTTGGAGGGCTCCTGACTGATACATTGTTGTTATGTGCTGTTGAGTAGTTTGTGATTCATAGTGACCCTAT